GATTACAATAAGTGTTCAAAACAGTGGCCGGCAGCGGCTATGCACGCAGTACAACGGCGAAGAAAAGATAGGCGAACATTCTGAAACACACCAGGCATATCACGAACTTTCCCTGTAGCGGCCGAAAGCTTGGCGACAAGTAAAGCAGCGCAGTAACTCGCAACAGGAATGGAGCTTTCACGTTTGCATCAAACAGCTTTCCAAATGCTCCAGCACCTTTGCGTTTTGTTTTCGACAAGGCATTCTTTGATAAAAATTGTTTGCTTGGGTGTGTACTATCACTTCCTAAAATTTTTCCCATCTTTTTAGAATCACCCTGTATGTGTATCCACAGAACAACAAACTGTATTCTTAACAATTCCAAAATTATAGGAACGCTTTTTTTATCCATAAAAAGCATTCTTGAAGTCTTCGAATAGTTAAAAAATGTAAGTAATTAACTATTAAATAAATCTGAGGGAACTACCTCCAGCACCATAATACATTTCAGTTAATGATGTGATACATTAAGATCATGTGTCTTAAGTGTTATTTTTAAAGCAGTAAATTGCGTAATTGAAAATTGTGTAATGTTTAAATTGTGCAATGTGTAAAATGTAATTTATTATTAAATAGCACTGAGGAACTATTTTTTTGCCTTCTGCTGTCTGAGATTTCTGAATGGATATTAGATATTTTCACCTCTCTGATTTTAAATCTGCTACCAGTTTCTCTTAACAAGCTACAGTTTTCATGCATTTTAAAACTGCATTCCAAGCCAGAAAATTTGAAAAGTGAAGTCCCCGACTTTTATGCTACGTTAAGGAGTTACAGGACATAATACATTTCAGTTAATGATGCGATACATTAAAGTCATGTAGGTCTGATTTCTTAGGACAAGAGCCTTCTCTGGGCTTCAGCGGGAATAAGTTGACGTACCCTGACGCCAATAAAATACTGTTTCGTTAGCTCAGTGTGAGCAATCGTTCCAACGCAGAGCATGCGTTAATGACGTAAACAAATATTAATTTTGATTTTGCAGCTCGTTCCTATAACTTTATATGTGTTATTGTTGACCAGTGTTTTAGAGGGAAAAATGACCTTTCTATCTGTAACCACAGGTTGTTTTTCAGCACGGAATCTTTGTAAGATTTCGATCTTACATTATACAAATTAGGTCATTTTTTTCATTTCAGAGATTCATTTCTCCTCGAAATCAAAATCTTGACCGCTTTCAATGCTCTGCTGGCTGTTGTCCTCCTTCTCTTCTATCGTTAACGTTACGCTGTAATCCAACTGCAGTTGATTCAGACGGTAGTTGTCGTTCATGCTGAGCGTTTGATGACGTATGCTGTCTAACTCACAAATTGACCAATCAGAGGTTAGCGCCTAAGAAACCAGGCATTTAGTGTTATTTTTAAAGCAGCTAACGAGTGTATATGAATGCATATAAACCTACACGTTCTTTTATAAACTTATATTCGCACGCAGGACGTCAGGTTACCGAAACAGGGGGCATACCCCTCTGCAGAGGATCGAAATTGGGGTGGCATGTCTTCGGATCATCCTCAGGGATGTTTCTCAGACCATCGAGAAAAGCCGATTGTGTAGCTCTAGTGCGATGTAAATGGACTACAACAACGAATTACAACAACAAATGTATACATTCCGTCAAAAAGGTAAACAAAACTAAAAACATCATCTTGAAAAAAAAAACTGCAGCTTTCCGAATAAAACTAATTTCAGATTTGAAATCCCCCACTCGAATTATACTAGATAAAGCACTTGTATAAATGCAATAATTAAATTTGTTCCTTTGTATAATTAATGCTTGTTTTCAGAAATAAGAAAGGTAGATTATTTCGAATATTTACTAACATTTTAACGTTTTATAGGAGAGTCTTGCAATTTAAATGGAAGTATGTCTCACGAGCCTATAGTTCTGTATAGTGGCCAGGGATGGAGTGGATTTTTAGAGCTTTATTTTCTCAAGTTCACTTTCCACAATAAAACAGGTTATGGATTGTTTCTATCGGGGTAAGTGGATTCCTTTTCAATTCAAAGATTTTACTTTTTTGGTAGTATTTGACAAAATCATTCAATATCAGTCTCAACTTTAAAAGATAACTTCTACGATAGTACATGCAAATTAACCTTTTTGCTACAAATTCATTTAAAAAATATTTTAAGTTCTGCCTTACAGAACTTATAAACGAACATTTCCATTGGTGCATGTGCCAATAGAACATAGTTGGAACATAATCGTATACAAACGAAAGACGTTTTCGAAAGAAAACTTTTTCCTGTTTAATCAGAACGTTGTATAAATGTTTTTGCTCCTCTTTTTTTTATAGGGAAGTGTACAACGAGCCATCGACACCTAAAATTCCTCTGCTCCATACGGTATGCCCTAAAGGTAAGTTATCGAATTGAAGTTCACAATGAAGTTTCTATTTTCACAATTTTATTAATTTTCAAGCCTAGATCATTTTATAAATCTTAATGAAAACTCTAATGTACTAAGCCTTGAAGTAATATCTTAAAGAATCTCCTATTACAGGGTTCAAAGGAGCCTGGAAAAAATTTAAAAGAGATTGTAATTTTAAAATAAAAAAAAATCTTTTTAATTATACTTGTTATTATCATTTCAGTTAAAGTTAATGCATCTAGGTGCATAGTCTACGCTCTTGAAAATAAAAACTGAGAACTTTTAAGCTTTTTCATTGATACAAACTGCTCCGTTTTTAACAGAATATTTTATAACGTGGTTCAGTATAAAAACTATAATTCTGATAATTTAGTTTTGAACACTACGAAACAACTGAGTTATTTTAATTATACATTACCCTTACGTGCCAATTTTACGCTTTTTGAAAAGGCGTTAACGACTATGACAATTTTTATTTTTTAAAACGTATCTCAAGATCAAATTGAGCAAGCATGTTTTATATATTGAGTTTTTACTTATATGTGTAATTACTTTTTTTTGTATTTAGAAGTCCCTTTGACAGTCAAGTTCACCGACGAAATATCACAATTTGGAGACATTTCTGGGGGAAAAGGATCATCTTTGGGAAAACTGACAAAACTAAGTCGTAAAGATAAATCCGTAAGTTCCAAAAAGTCTTAAGTCTTTTCCATTCACAATTATGATATTTTGGAATGCCAAGAGCGACTAAAAATGTAATACGTCGGGATTAATAAGCAGCTTAAATGTATTGAAAGAAGTTGAATTCATTAACTTTGAATTCATTAACGGTTGAATTCATTAACTTTAGCTAACATTTTTTTCCAGTTTACGGCAAAAAAGGTGAAAGCAAAGAATGCTTTCGTTTTAGAAATGAATATTACGAAATGGTAGTAGTTATGGTTGAATAAATAAACTGGATTAAATTGAAATTGAATTAAGGCAACAAAAGACTTAAAATTTTTTTTTATAAAAAGATCAAAGGACTGGTTTGAAATCTTCAATATAAGTTTATATTGTTAAAAAAAAACTTATGTTCAAGATCTCAAAGAAATAGTTTTAGAATTTAAAAAAAAAATTAAAATATTAAAAATTTGGAATTTATATTGTTTATTTATATTACTCCTCACGCCTGGAATTTTGTTAAAATGACAAAATTCTTTCAAAATATTATATATTAGCTTACATTTAAAAATTGTTGGGAGTACTCTTTCTATTTTTTACAATCAAAACAAGGAGCAGTAAAAAAGCAGGCAATAATCAGCATTTTCAGAAAAAAATATATAATATGAAATATAAGCATAGAGTTTCAAATTTGCAACTCAATAGAATGAAAATTAATTTTACTGGATATAAATTCGTCAAAAAGGAAATTTTGAGAAAAATGGCTTTTACATACAGTGGCATACATGCCAACTTACACGCTTTCAAAAAGGTGTTTTTCTAGTGGTAGGATAAAGCCAATTAAATTGAGATTGTAAAGTTGGCGTTTCGTAGTCAACAATTAAAGACCCTATCAGAAAGCTATGAAGACTATTAAATATATATTGAAATTATTCAAATGTAATGGTTGTCGAAATCATTTTAAACCGTATTTATTTAATAAAGAATAAAATGTGATACTATAAATTTTACCACTACATTAAATATAAAAAGAAAAACTTCTGTCAAAACCAGAAACGTAGCCAAGCATGTAGTGGTGTGGGGAAAAAGTTCAAATCAAACAAAGAGTTATATATAAAAACATGAACTTAGCTACCACTAGTAATTTTAGCCCTCATCACTCACGGGCAAAGTCGAACATTGATGTCGGCATATCGGGCGAATTTATACCCTAGTATACATTTTGGACAGAAGCGACTGTGATTATCAACATTCACCGGTGGAAGTCAACAATAATCAATTTTGGTCATACATTTATAATATGTCTATTGTTTTGATTACATTTTAAGTTTATAAACCTGTGTATATAATGTGTTTAACATGTAATATGAAAATGTGTTTATATCGTATTGTAGTTTGTTGTTCCTAAAGGAATCGTCGTTACAACATCTGCTTATGAAGAGTTTTTGACTCCTGACATATTGAATGCAGTGAAGAAATTAGAAAACGTTGCTTAGTGAGTAGTTCCTTGTTTAAAGAGTTAAATTGATAAATACAATTAATTTCGTTACAATATTAGATTTTTCTTAAAGAATTATTTCGTGATTGTGAGTTAAATTCATTGTTATTTTTTGTCCAATTGTAGTGGAAACGTCAAGGGCGATCTAATGGAAGAGTGCGAAGTGTAAGTTGCAGGTTTCGTTGTTTTATATTTTGAAAAATTTCACTCCTTCAATTCAACAAAAAGTGTATCTAAATTGATAATAATTAATGCTTGTAATCTTTGTAGTGTTTCCAGGAATATTTTAAACACAACAATGCAAAACAAAATAGCTCAGAGTATACAGGAAAACTTGAAATTAGTCTTTGGTGACGGATTTAAAAATTACAAGTTTGCTGTAAGATCTTCGGCAACAGGTATTTTAAGTATTTTATTGTGCCTTCTTCATTTTATTTATATTCTTAAATGGATATTACTATCAATTTATAATTGCATATTTTGTTTACGTACTGCCCCATTTTGAGGCTTGTGTGATAATTAGTGTGATAATAGATGAAAAATTTCATAGACATAGATATTATATATTTGCTGTCCGGAGCAAAATACATATTTGCTGTCCGGAGCAAGTTGGCTTGTCTGCAATACATTCTGACTGAAGCAACATAACTTTGGCTCTTTTTTATTTAAAGAATAGTGGATGCTAAACGTTAAAAACCAATTAGTTTCACATATCTAGTTTTTATAATTAGTGTTGCCAAACTGACAACGCTCCACCGAAAAGGGTTAAGTAATGGGAAAATGAAGCAAATTCATCTTACCTAAAATGCTATTTTGCTTCCACTTTAAAAAATTTAGTGAGTCACGGCATTCGGATTAACATCTATGATATAAAATATTTGTACAAACACAAGTAGTTAAGATAATAAGCTATCATTATGAAGAACTGGTGGTGGATTGAAGTAGGCTTGAAATTAAGGTGGAAACAAGAATAAACTAGCTGTAACTCTATTTCATTTCCAGTTGGTTTTTGTGAAGCGTAAAATAGCATAGTATTAGTTTAAATTATAGACTATTATCGTCATCAAATGTTTAGATGTCGATAATAGATCATAGAATATGATAAAATGCCAATAATAGAACAAAATAATTCTCATTCCCATCCATCTTGACGTTTTAACTTTAAATTAGTTCTTTCTAGTAACTATAGACAATTCACTACTAAAACAGTCCCAAACATTTGTTATGAGTGTTAAAAAATTCTTGGTAATCATGGATGTTGTAATTTTCTTAAAAACATGCAAAAATGAAATTATTTTCCTTCCAGTTCCTGTTCTTTTCCGCTTAGGTATATCAGGATTCCCACAGTCTTTGAAAAATTTAGTAGTGGTAGTAAATTTAGGTTAATGCCAGAATATATATATATATTTCTTATTTTAATATACCGCTTTATCGTTTATTGGTTTAGCAAGCTGGTATTTTCATGCATATATATTTTCTTTGGAAAACAACTTTTAGTGGTTGTTGCACAGAAATTAAAATATCGACATATGTTTTATTTTGTTTACCACTTTTTTAAAATTTTCAAGACATGCGAGAACCCTATATATTTACGCTTTCAGCCCTGTCTTGAAGTCCATTAAGTTTCATATAGATGGGTATCAGTTTGCCTGTAAAATTAAAATAAATAATGTTGTTGGGAACTACGCATTTTGAAAAACACTTCATTGACTTAATCTCAAATAAACCTCGCAGTTTACAACACGACAATTCATCGGCACCACGGCATGCGAGCAACCCAAATAGGTTGCAGGCGTGGGGACGATGAATTGGACTATAAAAATTCAAATTGAGTCCCTAGATAACATATAAACATTTTCTGAAAATTAACAAGCTTGGTGGGTGACTACTCGTAAGTTTTCTAATTAAGAACATCCCCACGAAGTTATATTATAACCCTTTAAGCATTCAAATAGCAACATTTACAAAACTATTTACAGTTTTTTCTTTAAAATTTTGTGATATTTTTAAAGGAATCTATTTTAGCATTATTCGATCTATGATAATAATTTCGTTTTCAGGGGAGGACACCGATGTCATGTCAGCAGCTGGTCAAATGGACACATATTTAGGAGTACAAGGCTTACAAGAGGTAATGTAAAACAAATTTTTATTACTATCAATAAAGTGAAGTAGCTGTATATTAAGTAAAACTATTTAAGTAAAACTATATTAAAGTATATATGAAACTATATATAAAGTATAAATAAAGTATATAGTATATATAAAACTATAATAATGGTATACTATTGTTAAAACTATATTAAAACAAAACTACTTTAAAAGGAAACCAAGATTCGTTATTGTTATTTAGAAAAGAGCGTTATTGTTCGTTTTTTTCAAAAGAATTTTGCCAGTAGTAGTGTAAAGCAGAGTAAATACATTAAAATAAGCGAAATTTAAAAAAAAAAAACTTATTGGCCGCACTCTCCGCATTTAATGCAGAAAACTTTTGCAGTAGTTTTTCCAAAAATATAATGCAAGTGTTACTGGTTAAAATTTATAGAACCGGTAGGCAAAATTTTAAAAAAAGCGTGTGCAAACTTGCTACTATAGCTGCAACTTCAATTTGAAATATCATTTCGTCGAACAATTGTGCTACTGAATATATATCTTCTCAATTATTCATATGTATGGTAATAGCGAAAGAGTTATTGTTTCGAAATAAGACAGTATTGTGCTATCTGTCCTTGCAAATGTATGCTGATCAATAAATAATTAAACGTTTGAATTTTGATGAATGTAAATTAATTTATCTAAATATCTATATAATGCTTCTATGTGCAGATATTTCATGCTCTCAAGAAATGCTGGGCTTCACAGTTTGGGCACATAGCCATTGAATATAAGAAGTAAGAAATGAATGTCATATAATTATAAACAAAGTTTGCAGTGAGCAAAGTAAAAACAGAACACCCGAATAATTTTTTCATCTAATGATCGGATTTTAATGCGCTAAAATATATTCTATGTAAAATGAATAATCCCAAGAAACTGAAACGAAAAGATATACTCTTCAAAAGTAAAATAGGTTGAAAAATTCAAGCGTGTTCCGAGATCTCAAAAATAGGCACACATTTTCAAGACTCGCCAGTCCTAAATATGAAAAAAAGTAGATAAATAGAAAACGCAAAGTTTCCAATGAAAAATATATATTGTCGCACATTGTGGGAAAAATGGATATGAATTTAATTTCAATTATAAATTTTTTTTCGAACCCTTGTAACAGCAATATACTAATGAAATAAGAGTGTTTAATCAAAACACGAAATTCAGATAGGTCTTTTGCTCTAAAAATTTCTCTGCCAATTATTTCGTGTCAAAACTTCTAGACTGAAACTTCGATATATGGTGAATCTGTGGTCAAAATGTCACAAATGTTTGATGGGTATCTTTCTTAAGTCATTACTGTTCAACATATGTATTGATTTGTTAATAACAATTTGACGCACAATTTTTATTAAACGTATGTTTAATTTTTTTTCATTATTTTGCATTAATCTTGGTTAAAATAGGCAAAAAATATTGTATTTAGCATTTTAATAATTATGGGTTACGAAATACAGTGTGAAACTCCTGTGTCTTTTCTTGCGTTAAAGGTAAAATCCTTCTACTCACTTTCAAGTCAAAATTTTTCACAGTTGCAATTACTATCCATTATTGATAAATGCTTGAATATGAAAGAAAAAAAATTCAAACCACGATTTTCAGATTTTATATTTTAATTCAAGTATAATTCTGCTAATCTAAAAGATTTCTTAAGAGTTATTTGACAGTTTTTTAGTATTAAAAAATATTAAAAAGTATTTTTGCAGGTAATCAGAGCTTTAGAAAAAATATATAAAGGGCACCGGTGTTCCATTTGTGATAAAAGGTTAATGACATCATTTATTGGTTGGTCTCTGGGCGGATCACTCTAATTTTTATTAAAAAAAGTTTATTTATTGAAATAACGCAAATCTTTGTTATTTATGCTAAAATATCATTTGCTTTTAATTATTAAGGTCTCTAAGTTCATTCGCCCAAATTATTATAATTGCAAGTTTAATAAGCAAAATTCCGATTATTAAGTCAAAAGAAAATTATTTGATTCATTTTTATTTTGCTCACTGTTCCCTCTTAACTTTTTTTGTACTTCTAGAAATGATATTTGTTTAAATTTAAATATTTCGTATTAATCTTTGCAGGCAGAATGGGCAGATTTTGAATTCACCAATGGCTGTTGTTATACAAGAGATGGTTGCTTGTGAAGTAGCAGGAGTCATTTTTACTTGTGATCCTGTAAACAATAACCCGGATGTTATTACAATAACAGCTAATTATGGTTTAGGGGAGGTAACTCATAATTTGCTCTGCATCATAATTTTAGAGATTATTTTATGCATTTCAGGGTAATAAGCTCCCCAGAAAAAAGTAAAGAGTAATATTAAAGTTGCTTAATAATTTGAATTTCACTAGAATTTTTATGTAAATAATCTTCAAAATTAGTTTTGAAGTTAGAAATTTAAGCTATTTCAGGCTATTTAAGTTATTTCAAGCTAAGCTGGTGATTGCTAACTTAACACGTTCACGCCGGGTGTTGCGCCTAAAAGCGGGACGGAAAAGAGAAAATAATGGTAGAAGAACTATTTCAATATTAGATAATATTCAGGAGGAGTTAATCTACTTTCAACAATAACAATTCACTGTAAGGAAATTAATCACGGCGAAGACGCAGTTCAATATAAAAATTGCAGCCGTTAAAAACAGTTGGTGGTTATGGATTTTTATTATTCCCGGAAAAAAACTAAAAAATGAAATTTATTTGTTACTAGTTTTTACTCCGGTGCGCCGCCCGATGAGACAATCTAGTGTGACCCACCGGTGGGTCTCCCCGGCGTGAACGTGTTAAAGTTAAATTTCTAACTTTAGCTAAATAATTTATACCAGCATTTAGATGTCTCCATCAATATTTTTGAATAATTTTCCTTTTAAAAATTGTTTTTCAGACTGTTGTTTCTGGATCAGTTGAGCCGGATACAATTATGCTTGAACGATCAAATAATGATGAATTAAAAGTGAAATCTATAACAGTTGGCTCTAAGCACCAAAGAATTGTCTTAAAAGGTAAGATTCGTTCCTTGAAATTTGAGGAAAACTTTGCACAATTTTTCGAAAAATATTATTTTTCAGACTGCTGACTTTTGCAACGGAAAAAAGATGTTATAATTTAAATCTCAATGTTATAAATCACTTTATGGATCAATTGGACTAGAAACCACTATGCCAAATCAAAAGACGAATAAATGGGAATTATAACTAATAACTTAAATGTTATAACTAATAATTATAACTGAAACGTTTTTAAAGAAAACTTTTGATGTTTTTTTTAATAAAATGCTTTATAAATTTTTTAGAAGAATAGAAAAATTAATGATAATAAAGTTTTATAAAACTTGACCAATTTCACAAAAAAGTTAAAAATTTAGACTGCTAATATATTAGAACTTAAATTTTTCTGTAATTGTACACTACATCCAAGGATAAGCCATCAACGCACTTTTCTCTTTGGTAGTCTCGATTTTCTTAAATTTTTTTGTTTTATGAAATTGACGAAATGGGTTATCCATACAGATGGACTTAATTTATTTTATTTTACTTACATAGAATATTAATTTTATATTTAGTTATATATTATGTAATATTGTTATTGCCTAATTTATTATTGATATATTATATTACATTGGTAACATACCGGGGGTAAGGACTAAAATATAGAAACACCTCTATAACATGTGAACAATCTTTCCTTAAGGAGCTAATGTTTTGGAAGATTTTTCATGGCAAAATTGTTCGCATAGTTAGAAAGATGATGCTTGAAGCTTTTCGAAATGGCGTCTTTTTCTAACCATGCGAACTTCGGAAGGACCAAAATGAAGAGAAATTTAATAGCGTCTTTCCAGTTTTAATATGAGTTAATTTAATTTCAGTCCATAGGATTGCAATATTTATATTATAATGCTTTTTTAAATGATAGCGGTACTGAAAAAAGAAGAAAATCTTTTAAGTTTTGGTGTAAGTTTAGGCAAAATATACAAAGATTGAGAAAATCGTAAAAACTATATTTTTCACTAACTGCAAAGCAATAAAGAGTCATGGAATATACAACAAGCCTATGAGGCAGAAGTTGATCGCTGATTGTTTTTATTTTAGAATCTGGTGGAACAGAAGTTGAAGATTTACCAGATGATTCCAAAACTTCAGCTTGCATAAACGAAGAAACATCGATCAATCTTGGGAAGTTGGCAATAAGAGTATGTAATCTGTTTCAATTTTTTTAAAATATTAGGTATGTAATTTTTTACCTTTTCACATAAACTGGTATTCTGCCCAACAATTAGCAAAATGTTCTTAACAATCGCAAATTTGTATTAATTTCAGGTTGAGAAGTTTTACCGATCATCAAGAGATATAGAATGGGGTTTAATAAACAATAAAATTTACCTTCTGCAGGTAAGAATTTACATTTTGTATTTAGAATGACTGGTAACTATTTTATGAATTTCAAATATCAACTTAAATTTAATTAATTGTGGAAGCATTAATCAAAAGAAGTGAAATTGTTTGAGAAAATTTTAATAAACAATATAGACTATGTTACACGTTTTTTTAAAAATATTTTTCGAGCAGCCGAATCATTATTGAGTTGTCAACTACCAATGTTCAACTCCGTAGCCTTGTAATTTTGAAACCAATCCAAAAGGCAATAGAATTCCTATATAAAGTATTGGCAGAAATTCGCCCTCGAAGTACTTTTCTGATGCGTTACGTGGAAAAGAAAACCGCAAAAGCTTCCCACTGCTAGCCTGTCGCCAAGGGGCCTCTAACACACAATCCGTCAACCACTATTTTTTTAAACTATAAATACCATTTTTCCGTAAAGAATTATCTGGGCTTTAGAACAGACAAGTAATTTAAATAGCTTAAAAGTTTTTACAAATTTTTTAAAAATCACCATTCAGGGACGTTTTACAACTCAGTTGAAAATATTCAAAATCAATGCTTTATTCTAAGTTTTTGCAAATTTTTATGAGCACCGATAATGCACTATTTGAGTAAATTTTTAAATATTTAAAAATCAGATAGCAAATGCTTTTCATTTTCTGGAGACTTTGGCTTTTCTATATATTGACGTTTTGCGCCATTTTCAGAACAAATATTGAGGGCGCTGGCTATAGATAGGCTAAAATTAACTTTACAGTTATGAGTAACTGTTGCAAACTCTCAGAAGTTATGAAATAATGCTTTATTTACAAAACCATTTCATGTAACTACAGATCCTTTCGAAAAACGGAGAAAAGAATTTTAGACTATGCATTAATAGCATTTTAGCAAATACTTTTTACTGCCTCATAACATTTATAAATCAAAAGTTATTATTATTATTTAGAGCCGACCTGTTACGAGTGGAGCATCACTTACTGAATTTGAGTTGAAACATGAATTTGACTGTATTTTGAGAAGTGAAAGAGATTACTTCACTGTAGCAAATATAGGGTAAGAATATGTTACAGTATATTTATTTGTATGAAAAAGTGTAGCAAAAGTATGATGACGTTCCAGATCAGCTGCTCCTAATTTTTTATCGGCTATTTCTGGATTTCATATTTAATGTTCTCACTATTTTTTAAAACTCTAATTTTATACTTTTTGAATATGTTTGCTTTTGTGATTGAACTTTTGCGAGCACTTCGAGCTTACGATATATCCCCGGATGCCCCCTTGCGGGTCGAGTCCGAGTTAAGTTAGTTATTAGCAGTGCTAAACCTTAAATTAGGTCAGCTGTTCAATGAAGGTTATAAAATAAAGTAAAAAAACGTATTCATTCCATTTTAACACTTATCCGCAAAGCAAATTTTTTCCGACAATATATTAGCTACTGTAAAATTAGTGAAGATAAGTTCACTGGTGTTCAAGGTTGGAAGAATTTTTATATTTGGTTTATTATTCGATAAATTTTAATAAAAGTTTGTTTGAACATTGGTTGAAATTATATATATATATATACACTTTAGTTATTATTTTTTTATTTGTCACGTTATCTTAAGTAATAATATAAGTAGTGTTAAAAATTAGTTATACGTAGTTTCCACTCTAATGCTCATTATCGGAGCGTGCCAAAATGGTGACTGTCGGGCACAAAGGGCTTTTGCCATGATACGGCAAAAAGCTTAACTACTAATACAAAAATAATAACCATTCAACAGTAATAAAACATACACATGATCACGCGTAACACTGATCAGAGTTGTATTGCCAAGAGTTATTACAGAGTTGTATAAAAATTGGTTTAATTAGGAGGTAAAACCTCCTTGTGCAAGCCTCACAATATAAAGCAATTTTGGAAACAAGGCAGGTTTTGAGTTCCAGTTGCACTTTTTCTCCCTCATTCAGTATCCCCCCCTCCGAAAGCGTCACAGACTTCAGTTGGGTTCAGGCCTGGAGATATGACTAGTCAATCCATCCTGCAAATATATTCATTTTCCAGAAAATGGTCTGTCAGAAGAGTTCTGAGTGGTATGACATTATTATCTATTAAAATGAAACAAGGATCCATTGCATCCCTAAAAAGGCTAACTTAGGGTTCCAAGATCTCATCCGTATAACCGACATCAGTCACACAGTACCTCTTTCTGAGTCATGGAGGGGTGAGCGGGAATCAAGCTGCCCTGACCAACAAACCTCAGCTGCTATAATGGTCCATTTCTCGAACATTAAAGAGCAGGAAGTGGGTCCCTGATACTCTCCATATTCATTCTCCTCATTCGGAAGTACGTTGAGAGGGAGTGGTCAGGCTGAAACGGGATTCATCAGTGATAAGAACATTCATCCACTGATCCATGCTCTAATCTCTATGTTCTCTGAACCATCTTTCACGGACTCTTCCGCTGGAAGAAATCAGCGGACCTCAAACAGCCCTTTTTAATGAAGCCTTCTGGAAAGAGTATCCCTTGAAACTCGGCTTCTGTTGGCTGCATAAAGGTCATGAGAGAACAAAGAAACTTCAGCATACCTGTTGTTACGCTTGGGTGTAATCGATTTTGGTTGACCGTTATGGTTTTTGGCTGTCCTTGGTCAGGCAGGATTGACAGATCCGGAATCCTGAAATTGTTTTCATAAATTTCATCGATGGTCGATGCTTTATTAAATCCTCTATAAATCTGGATTTGATAATGGCATGCTTCAAGTTTTACCACAATTAACCACACCTCATTCCATCATCTTATCTTTGATGGTTACTCATTTTTGTTGTTTAAAATTAAATTTAAAGAATATGTACAGATTACTGCAGAAAAGGAAACATTTAGAAATTCGCGATGATGTTCGAGTGAACCAAATGCAGATTTTGTCTTGTGCTTCCAAAATCTATTCCTCTACTACCTCCGCCCACACACACTTATACGTTTACGTATTCAAGACACAAGATTTACATCTTTGTTTCGAAGCAATAGTTTTACATGTAGCTCAGTTGTTTTTTTTAAAAAAATGCAACGAAATATGCATATTCGCTTAATTTCGAACACCAGTGTATAGCTCGGTCACCAGGAGTTGGCACTTGGCCCCGCCTACATCACGTGGTATGCGACGATTCTATTTCGCTATTTTTGGGAGAAGGTTGTGAGCAATCCTGAACAATGTTGCTATTTGGCGATCGTTTGGCAAAAATATTTATTTCGCAAACTTTATGTGCATTTTTAACAATAAATATTTCATAAATTTGATGGTATTTTGCCCCATTTTTTATGATATTTCTTTCTTTTGAGTGAATAGTTTGTCCTTTATGAGACATTTTGCTGGGAGAGCAGCAGTTTTTAAATTTAAACTATATTTAATTAGCTAGAGTAACAAAAGGTATAATAGCAGATGATAAAGCGAAGTATGTGACTGAAAAAGAATTCACTGTTTGTGTTTGGCGCAAATTAAGGGTTGTCTCAATTTCAACAACGGAGATGTTTCTCTTCTAACTCCCGCGCTGAAATGAACTCTGCGTCCCAGGAGGTGGAGCCAAGTCTCAACTTCTGGTGAACGAACTATACCTGAAATTGAACTTTTCAATTCCATATTACTACCATTGGGGAAATTCATCCTTGAAAGGATTAAAAGTTGGCAGGTATGCATGTCAGTAATCGGGTTTTTAAGAAGTCAACGAATACTTTAGAACATACTATGAAAGCAAATCATGAAACTTCAGTATTAAAATCTAAGTGCTTACCTGCAAACTGAAACTTTCTGAAATAACTAATTACATTTAATAAAAACTGTTAAAATAAAGAATAGAAAAACCAAAGAGATCCAAGGTAAGTGTGATCGTTCCTTCAAAAACAATTA